GTCATTAATTTTAAAAGTTAGAATTAACTCTTATGAAGAAGCCTTTAGAATATGCTTTGATTTTTAAATTGAAATAATTACTTGTAGTTTAAGAGATTAAGATCTAAAATAAATATTTTTTTCAATATAAATGCTTTCTTTTTAAGTTTATAATTCGATTTTATGATTTTTTAAAGTTATATTTTTCATATTCAAAGTTTAATAATATTATATTTTTTTATATACACAGAAAAATTTTATTTAAAATAAATATTTATTCTAAAAAGTTGATATTTCTGTACTTATATTAATATAATAATATCTTTTATTAAAATATAATATTTATTTCTTATTACAATAATAAGCAAATATTTTTGCAACTATTTACTTAGAATTAAAAGTATTTGTAAATATACTTGCTATCATTTTAAATAATATCATAAATATTAGAAGGATAGAAAGCAATTTCCTTATAATATTTGAAATACTTTATCTAATTATAAATTTAAACTATATAAAAAACATTATAGTAAATTTTATATGATTTAAGAACTTTGAATAAGTATTTATTTAAAGATTTTATAACTAATTTTCTTCAAAAAATTTTATACTAATCATTTTTTTACATCTATATAAGAAAAATTTATACCTAGCCTAAATTTATTTATATATAAGGTTAAGTTTTATGATTTTAAACTTGCAAAAAAAAATAGTTTCTGATAGATTTTTATATATTGAAAAAAATTCTGTAAACTAGATCATAAACTATGACTTTTTATTTTTTTTATTCATAAAAATAAATATTTATGTTTATAATAAGGATAGATATAAATAAATTTTTACCTAATAAATTTATTAATAGATCACTTTTAGAATTAATTTTAGCATATAGGAGATAGTCAGTAGAAAAAAGAGAAATCCATTTCTTAATAAAAAATATTTTTATTATTCACTCTATCGATCATAATTATATGAACAAAATTTAATAATTAAAATTGCTCAAAATTATAGATTTTACTTTATTTGATTATATTTAGTGATACTTCTAGTAGTAAATAGCATAGTATAAACTTTTTTGATATATTAGAAAAAATTAAATAAGGTTATAAATGATAATGTAATTCTTAGTATCCTTATTTTTTAGGTAATTTTATATTAAGTTAGAATATTAAATACTGAAAAAAGTCTTAACTGATTTAAATATTTATTTTCTTTTTTAAGATCAAAGCAGAAATTAAGTTAAAAAAAAATTTAAGTTTTTATTGATTATATTTTTGAATTCTGATCCTAAAACTTCTAAATTTGTTTTACTATAATTCTTGATATTTAGTGAAATAATTTCATATTAAGTTAGATACTAAATATTGGATAATAATGTAATAAGTAAAATTTTATTAGCAAACCTAATATTAATATTATTTCTTTAAATTTAATTTTTATATATAGATAATTTTTGTCAATTTAGTTTTTTATGCTAATTACATAAATCTTAAATGTCAATTTAGTTTTAGTGTAACAATCCATTTAATTTTTATATCTATTTTATTATCTGCAAATTTATCAATTATATTGATACAGTAACTTTATTTTCTAATAATAATTTAACTTTATTTCTATTAAATATTTTAGTTTAGTTTATTTTATTAATTATCTAACATATATAAATATCTTTGTATTTTCATAAAGTCTCATTACCTTTCTAATAAAAGTTTATTAACTAGATGTTAATCTTTTAGATACTGAACTTATTATTATAATAATAAAGAAGTATAATTAATTAAGTATAAAACTTATTTTTCACAATTCTTTGTAATTGCATTAATTATTTAAACTATTTATAATTTATTTGTTAACCATTGCATTCCTTTGCAATTTTCGTTAATTGTCAATAAACTTATTGTATGATATTGTATTAATTTGTTATATTAACTTAAAATTTCTGAAATATAATATCTGAAATATTTTAATATTTATATTTTTTGTTTATTTTACATGTTTTTATATTAAGAATAATCTTTGACATTATTATAAATCTTTACTTGTAAATTTTTGAGTAATTATCTTAGTTTTATTATCTTTTTGAAATTTAATTAAAGCTACAATACTCTTATAATAATAAAAAAAGTCTAGACTAATTTAAATATCTATTTTTTATTTTATAATATATAGCAAGAATTAAATTAGATAAAGATTAGAACTTTTCTTGATTACATTTTTGAATTTAGTTCTAGAATCACATTTTTACTATATTATTTTATATGTAAATATATTACTTTTTTATATTTATTATATAAATATAATACTCGTATTTTAATAATTTTTAATATATTTAGTAAATGATATTTAATTAAAATGATATACCAAATAAAAGAGTTTAAAGATTATCTTGTAAAATAAATTTTATGAAATATATACAGTTAAAACTGGTTATAACAAACCTTTTTATAATGAATGCTAAATATAATGAACTCATAATTTTTAAATTTTAATAATAGTTCATATAAAAAGTATAATAGTTCATATAGAAAGCTAGTAATTTATATAATGAACTTTTTTTTAATAGAACTATTAGTTTATTATAAAGAGTATTGACTGTAAAGATAAATTACATAAACATATAATTAAAAATATATAAAAATAACAATTAAATTCTTGATATCACAAAAATAAATAAAATAAACAGATAACATTTGCAAAATTTTGCGAAAAATAAACAAATGCAAATTCTTAATTTTATAATTATTTTATATTGGCCAAACATCTTTATATTATATATATATATAGAATTATTTTAGAATCCTATTTATAGAATTATTTTACTTATTATTATATATAAAAAATTTATCATATTTTAAAATAATTTTGTAATAATATATTATATATATATATAGAATTATTTTAGAATCCTATTTATAGAATTATTTTACTTATTATTATATATAAAAAATTTATCATATTTTAAAATAATTTTGTAATAATATATTAATTAAAGATATATAATTAATTTATTAAAACAAAAATATTAAAAAAGTTATCAAAAATTTTATTATCATAATATTTAACATTATTAAATTTGAAATATTATATTAGAAAATGATTTATAAAAGTTATTAAAAGTATTTTTAAACTAAAATTTTGAATAATTAAAAAATAATCTATTTTTTTAATTGAAATATTTCTTTTTTTTTTTAATAATTAATAAAAATTTACAAAATTAGATTTATATAAAAAAATTAAAAATTTAAATATTATTATTAATTGATAATTTACTAAAATTTATTTAAAAACTATTTTAATATTAATTAATAATTAATATTTTTATTTTAAATTTTAAATTTTTTTTTTTTAAAAATTAATAGAATTATTAAAAATAACATTTTTTTTTTTTTAATTAATTTTTTAGTTTATTTTGAAATTTTAATATTAAATCAACCTTAATGAGATTGAGATTTAAATAATTTTAGATTTTTAAATAATTTTATTTAAACTATTATAGGCAATTTCTTGAATTAAGTACTAAATTATATAAAATATCAGAAAAGTTATTTTATATAATATTAGTATTATAACTTTACAATTATTAAACTAATTTTAATAAAATTAAGATTTAAGTAATAAATGCTAAAATTAGTTAAAATATAAAAAAGTAATTTATGTATCATTAACTTGATAAATTTTATAAATACTAAACTAACTTTAATGAATATGAAGATTTAAGTAATTTCAGACTTAATAAATAAATTTATTAAAACTTTAAAGATGCTTTTCTTAAACTAAAATGCCAAAATTAATCAAAATAAAAAAAAGATAATTTGTATATATATCATTAGAATTACAAAATTACATGAATATTAAATCAGCTAATTTTAATAAAAATTTAAAATTTGAGTAATTTTGAAACTATTAAACAAGTTTATTTAAGATATTTTTATTTGTTATATTTAACCAAATTCTTAAATTTCAGCTGAAATATTTTGTATAAAAAAGTAAAAGAAAAAAATCATTCAAATTTTTTTTTTATAATCCGAAATTTATAAAATTATTGATAATTAAGCAGGTATATATATTTTTATTTTATCTTTATTGTTTTGATATTTGTGTTTTTATTATAAAAAAAAAAAAAGAAGTTAAATTAATATTCTTTTTTTTTTGATAATATTTTTTTTTTTTAGATTAATCATAGTATATACAAATATAAGAAAATAGAAACAAATTTTCAAAAAATGAGCCCGTCTAAAAGCGGAGTTGTTTTGGCCGGAATTATGGCATCAAGAAATTAATTATGTGACGAATAAGGGATCTGACAAATAGGATTTTGCACCGAAAAAAAATAAAATAAATTAAGCAAATAATACTCCATCAAGTAGTAAAAAAAATTATAATTAATTAAATTCTATTTAATAAAATCACAAAAATCATGTAACGCAAGCAAAATTTGTAACACAAAAAGGAAAAAAAAAAAAATGGTAATAATTTTCAAAAAAAAAAGATCGACAAAAGATTTAAAAATATATTTTATTTAAAAATATGATGGTTAAATTAACATAATCAAGGAAAGCTTAAATCATAACTTTATCCTAATGATAATATAGCAGCTTATAGCTATTTCAGCAGCTGTAGTTGTAGTTGTAGCTATAGCTATAGCTATATTAACTTCAAATTCACTGAATATTGGTACAACCAAAAAACAACTTAAGCGAAAATGTGATATAAATGCAGACGATCACTATCATATTCCAAATTAATTTTTGGCTATATTTGTGACAATCTACTAATGTTTTATCAGATATAATTTATCTAACATTTAATAAAAAATTTTTTTTATAGCTCTAATAAATACATTATTACTTCTATTATTTCGATTCGATTTTCGAAAAGACGGTCATTTTTTCAGGGGAGAATGCTTATATTAATTTTTTTGTTCCATATTGTTTCCAAGAATATTTTAATGAACTGAAGCATTTTGCAATAAATACTACTAGAATTTTTCACATTAATATCCTGGAAAGCATATATAAACGATGACAAAGCACTCCGTTAGCTATCCTGAAGCGACGAGTTCCACGTCCCACAAAGACTATAACACTTTTGCCAATATTTCCGTCCGCTTTTCTCAACCAGAAAATTCACGGCCATTAGGGAATTTTGGACAATGCGAAGAATGCGGGGGTTTAAATACCGGGTACAACTGGTGCCGGTACTGCAATAGCGAAAATTTTCAGAAAAACTTCGATAACTGGTCAAGCGGAGACGATGAAATTGATAGGTTTATTAAAGAGGCGCAATCTCATGCTACCAATTTTAGGTCAGTTTTAGAGTGGATAAAATATCAAGAATTCACAAATGTAAAACATCTTGCTGATGGTGGCAATAGTACTGTGTAGGTATCTTCATAATAGAAAATCGTAATAATCTTATGCTGTATCTAAGATCATAATTTTTCTTTACTAGATTTACGGCAAATTGGCTTCAGGGGCCTATACAAGCATGGAATAAGTCTATCAATGATTGGGAACGACAGACGAATTTGGGTTTAATAATATTGAAGCGCATAAAGGATTCCAATAATTTAACATCAAGTTTCATGAATGAGGTTGGTAAATGTTATCAATGATGTGCTGAATACCTTTATATTAGTTTGCTTTACTGAACATCTTTATAGTTGAGCGCATATCACAAATTCAGCACAATGGTTAGCAACGTCATGTACTGTTATGGTATCTCACGTTGTCCTTGCACTCGCGAGCTGATTGTCGTTACATCTTATGCTCGTGATGGAGATCTTCGAAATTACCTCACCAAAAACTTTGACACCTTTACCTGGACACAAAAAATCAGCACTCTTAAGGATATTGCGAGTGGATTGGTGAAAATTCATAGCAACGGCCTTCTACATGTAAGCGTCTTTCTATGCCCAATAAATGGAATTGCAAATATGATCATGAAGTTAAAAGACAATTTAACCGTTCCTTATAATCAAAGAAAGATTTGCACACGGGTAACATTTTACGACACGGTAGTTGGACAATGATTAGTGATCTTGGTCTTTGCTCAATTGCCAGAAATGATAAGACGATTCAAGGCGTGCTTCCCTATGTTGCACCAGAAGTTTTACTCGGGAAACCATACACTCGAGCGGCTGATGTATATAGCATCGGAATGATTATGTATGAACTATGGTCAGGAAGGCAACCATTTGAGGGAAGAAAATATGATGTGACTCTAACATTAGATATTTGCTACGGTAACGACATCTTTAGTTGTATCCTTAATAATAGATACGGATTTTGATAAGTTCTAAAAATAGGAACCCGTCCTGAAATAACTTCAGAAATACCCGACTACTATTCAATAGTTATGCAATCTTGCTGGAACAACAATCCCAAAATGAGACCTACATCACGTGATTTAGAAAAGAGATTTGACTCGTGGATTAATAGTATCAAAGATCGACAATTGATTTGCCCTGAGATTTCTGCCAAGGAGAAAGCAGACGTGAATGACTCAGCGTGCAAATGGATTGATTCATATAGAAATATTTCAAGTCAACCGCTTCCTTCCTTATCAGTAATTCAATGTAAAATTTTGGAAGAGCAGGATGAATGTCGTAAGTACCAATTCTTTGGTTCACTGAATTTTCATAATCCAATGTTTCTTTTTAATTCTGGATTTCATTACGCAAAGATGAAGCTCTTTATCAAAAATATTATAACCAACGTCTCATCGAGCATGCTGAACGAGAATCAAAAATTAAAGAAAACGGTAAGCTTCAATTAAGTTGTTGCATATTTTGATAAAAGGAAGTTAATAATGAATTATTTCAGAGCCAATGAATCCAATGACCTGGACTCGTGAACTCAAAATACTTGCTGACAACATATTTGGCAAATCAGGTATGATATAAAAACTTTTAAATTGTTTTATTTACTTATTATACTGGTCTCTATAATCATTATTCATAATATTTGTAACCCGCCTAAGATATTGATAATAAATTAGAATTGACTGGGGTAAAATCTATCGAAGAAGCAAATGCAATACAAGAGGTGACATACGACATTCCTGTTGGCATAAGAATAGGTATTAAAAGTGAGTGTATATTATTGTATTACTTAAGATACTAATTATCATATGTTTCACTTATTTAGAGGGGAAAAAAAGGCCTTTGCACATGCGATATTTTACAAAGTTGCTTATTTTATTACATACATATTGGTGAATTAAAATAATTTAATCATGATATAGATGTCAATTAGTAAAGCAGGAATTTAGAAACAATTTTGCAATATCTGGATAAACATTTACAATATTAAATGTGTAGTGCCTAATTTTATTTTATTATAATTATATTTATATTATATCGCTGGTTCAGTTCATGAAATGTTATCTTAAGTCCAATGCCTAGATTTATAAATTAATACGTTTATTTGAGGATTTTTTTATTTTTTTTAGTAAAACAACTTTTATTAACAACAAAAGAGTCCTCGTTTAACTTAGGGAATTTCAATTTTATGATTTGTACTTTAATAATTTAATAACTTAATAAATTTGAATTATTTAATTTCAATAATTACATGACCACATATGATAATAATACTTTGGCCGTGGAGTAATTTGCAACAGCGAAAGTTTAATTATCTGAACCGGATAATTGTAACGTAACTTTACGGGTATCGCCGATAACTCCACAGTTACTATGAGCAATGCATTGCCACGAAGTGGCAAAATATTCATCATGTATTGCTTACCGTGAACTATGAAGTAACCCGTGAAGTTACAATCAATTATTACGCATCCGTTTAAAATTTCATAACCAATCATTAACATTAATAATTTTTGTATGAAAATTAATAATTGATTTTCGATTATGATCACATTATATATAGATATTTACTTACTAGCTTGATAAAGATTTGAAACCAAAGTCATAAATGAAACTAAATTGATTAATCTCAAATCGAAATTGAGACACAAGCTAATAGCATCATTCAATTTCAAAGAAATATTTTCAAATATTGCTTAAATAACTAATTTATATTCTTTAAAAGTATTATTCGCCTCGTTAAGAATTAGAAATTCAATTATCGATTTATATCTCATATTTGGTATCGTGCAATTTTTTTAAACAAAGTTACAGAAGAATAATTTATATTTTATTAATCGATTAATTCGATGAGTAATTAAAAGTCTCTACCGATAACTAAATTGCCCCGTATTTCAGCATAATTCTTATAAAATATAGTGTACTTTAATATATTATTTTCATATTCGTAATAATAGTTTAAAAATTATGAGGCGCAGTTTAATAATAACGATTTAGTGCAATTTTCATATATACACTGTGTGTTCATTGAGAAATGCAATACATCTGCCTAATCAGAATAATTGGATGGAATTATTGGAATTGAGAGTGGTTTGATTGAGGAATTTACGCGAAAGTAGGTATCATTTTTAACATTTGACAGGATATGTTATGACCAAGAAACATTTTGCCTATCGAATATGTAATTTATTTTCGTATAGTTTTTCTCGGTTTTAATTAATAGCATTTATTGATTAGCGATTATTTGAGTTAATAAAATTCAATTGCGAAAGTGTAGACCGCCGACTGCAACACTGATTAATTAATTTTATTGAACAATATTTACATAATAGTTATTTAATTGCTTATTAATAAACTACATTTTAATTGTTTATAAATACATAAGAAGATTTGAATACAACAATCGTAAGTAATTAGTCACTTGAATTCATTTACGATATCCACAATTTCTCTAACACAAATTTTGACTCAGAAAAACAAGTTATTTATTAGTATATTATACCTTGTTGATGGCTGTTTGAATTCGAGAAACGATTAATCGATTCTAAGATTCAATTATTTGAATCGATTCCAATCTGGATTTATGAATTTCGAACCTATCATGAATTATCTCAAATATAAGTAGTAAATAAATAAATAAATAATAAGACTTCCGATTTGAATTCTTCTTTATACATTAATAAATCCTATAAGTGATTGAAGCGAATCAGTACTTATATTAAAAGAATTTTGATCATTTAAAAACTTGTTCATTATTATTAATACTAATACCCAAGCTGCACGACAAGGACTTCAATATCGCCCAGTAACCTCAAAACTTTGCCTTAAACTGGAAAAGTGATCATGGTATAATTTTCAACTAATTGCTTAAACCGGAAAGAAATTATTCTTTAACGCGCGCGCGTTCAATCAGTTCTCTTCAAATTGAAGGAATTCATTTGTTTAATTTAAAATAAAATTGATAAAATAAATAATGTCGAAAATAAAAAAAAAATTGTGAAAGAATTGGGTTAAGGATAAAAAAAAACAGTCAGATCTCGATGTAACGACCCTCTCCGGTTTTATTATAAATTTTTTGAAAAAAATCGTTTTATCAATATTTATAAATTTGATATAACGTAGAACATAAAATTTTTATAAATCGATTAAACGAGAATTATTAAGTGATCGTTATATAAAAGGTTCGTTATATCGAGTACTGACAAAGAAAACTATGAATAATATAAAAATATTAGAATAATTAAAACATATAATTTATTAAAAGTAATTAACTGTTAAAGGGATAAAAATTTTATTAGAAAAAGATTTTTTCTTTAAAAAAAAATAAAGTTAAAATAAATTTAAATAATTTATCAAAAGGATATTGTCTTCACCTATAAGTAACATTTTAAAAAAGTTTTATTTAATTAAGAACATTCAGTTATTCTGAACAATGGATTCTGTAATGAGGAGTCAAGGAATTTTAGGTTTCGAGTGTAACGTTAGTCATCTAGTTTATGAAAATACATTTTTTTTGCCGACTTAATATCTCATTCTTACAAGTGTCTATTCGATAAATAAATCAAATAAAAAACACAAGTATAAAAACCAGATGGGAGGTTTGAAAATCACGTTACGAATCATATAATTTACTATGTTCGTAACTCAAGTTAAATAGCAAACCTCCCATACGGGACCATTTGCGATAAGAAGGGAGAAAATGCAAGGAAAAATAAAATTTACTTTTTATGAAAAATATGACTTTCAAACGAGTTCGCTTTTTCATGTTAATTTTCTCGGTTATGGATTTGAGTAAATAAATGTCACGAAGAAAATTAGATTAATTAGGAGAAGACAGCGATAATGTTAATATTTCTCCACTGTATTCAATATTCAGTTCCCCCTACTTTTGAAATTTGAGGTCACGGCTACCTTTATTTTATTTATTATTCATTGCAAGAAAAATTTTTCTACACATTTCTTTATTCTTTCTAACGGAACCATAGATTTTATTATTTTATATATTATCTTTTAACTAATCATAGTATTTAATTACGGTACGATACTATATAAAAGGTAAGGTACGATAAATTATTTATAGGTACGATACGATCAATTATATATAGATACATACCAATATTGTGAAAATAATTTGCACATCGATATGTATTAGATAATACAATTAATTATAATTTCAAGCATTATTGAATAATAAATATTAGATATTTACAAATTAAAAAAAAAAAAAAATAAAGAAAAAAATTAATTATAAGAAAAAATTTTACACTGCGCCCCGCGATCATCATAGGGGTCGTGATATCAATATTTGACGCCAATAAAAAAATATTTATTCTTTAAAAAAAATGGAAGGCCCACTTTTTATGAATCACGAAAAAAAGGTAAATTTGTTTGCTATTTTGTGTTATAAGAATAATAATATAATTTAAAAAAAATTTTATTTTAGACGAATTATATTTATGAAAATCTTACTGGAAAGAAATCTTAACGAACTTATTAATATTTTCATAGAAGATGAATTTCTTTATTCAATAATAAGCAAGATTTAATGCCTCCTCAATTAACAATTAATTATATGCTAAAAAACTATATTTCAAAATGTAACAACTTTTATTGTGATGCATCTTCGATTATTTTGATTACTTTTATTATCCTGAATTTTTTTGAAAAATATATGATATAAGTACAACCATTAATACTGCAACAATTAAATATATCCCTTTTGTCAACCACTTAGATACTAAATGAGAATAAAAAAAAAACTTATTTTAAAATTATAGCTATAAATCTTTAATTAAAAAATAAATTAAAAATTAAAAACTTAAATTAAAAAAAAATCCGAAACTAAATAAAATAAAATAAAATAAATTTGCGAAAAGTGTAATTATATTCTACATAATTGAATTGAATTCGCGAAAATGAAACAGAATAAATTATCTAAACACTCGCTAGAAAAAGTTTGTTTGAGATATTTATTAATTAGCTCCCTTTTATCTTTAGTTCCTAAAATATTATAATTCAAAACTAAAAGTGAGCGATGGATTTTTGAAAACTTTAACAGTTAGAAAAATGATCCATAATTACTATCTTATCGCTTATATTATTTATTATATTAAAAATAGAAACAAGTTATATGTATAATAAGCATTATTTATTTGCTTAAAATAAATTAACGTTATTATATAGCTAATTTTCATATAAACTCCATGATATCGCAAAAAATATTAAAAAACAAGATCTTCTACATCATACTGGTGAGCACAATAACGATATTATCGTGTGATTTTATGATGTTGACTTTAAAATTATGAAGAGTAAGTTCATCATTCTCTTG